GGTCTCCCTGTAGCCCCAGCTGTCCTGGAACTCACTATGTAGACCAGGCTGGCCTCGAACTCACAGAGATCCACCTGCCTCTGCCTCCCAAGTGCTGGGACTACAGGTGTGCGCCACCACACCCGGCTACGTCCAGTTCTTATACTAGATCAGAGAGAAATTCCTCAGTACGGCCAGGGCTGGCTGTATCAGAGCTCTGTTTTTTTTAATACTTATTTATTACTTTTTTTTTCTTGGCTTATTTTTGTGCAAGCTCTGGTTTTGAAAATCATGTCTCTATCTGGTGTTTTCAGAAATCTAAAATACACCATGTGACCCAGTTTTCCTCCACCAGTGGTAAGCTCTGTGTGACCAGAATGAGATCACAGTTAGCTTTATGGTCAAAGGTCTGGCCTGGAACTCATAGTTCTGGTCTAGAAAGGGGAGGGAAAACGGGGACTTCTGATCCCGGGAAGGAGACAGCACATTCCTCAGGAATGTGGGCCTCAAGGTCCTGCACGTACCTTGTGAATACACACGAGGCCTCCCACTGCGAGCACTACCTTCTCAGCGCAGCAGCACCTGCCCAACCTCCTACTGACAGAGGTGTCACGTGCATCAACTTCAAAGACCCCACTGCTCAATCAGAACACAGCCAGTATCTTACAGGGAGAAAGAACAGCTATTGATTGGTAAGGAATGCTAAGACAGCACCAGGGCTAGAAGCTAACACCTATACTTGTTGCCTAATCAGAAAGAGATGTTTATGAGCTGAGGTAAGCAGATAGAAGACAGCCAAGGCAGCACTGCCATAGCTGATGGGAAGGGTCAGGGTTGCATGTCCAGGGCAGAGATGACATTACACTGGGCTGAGTGAGATGACAGGTCACCTTGCCAGTTACTCAATTTGGACTGGAGCAGAACCAAAGCTAAGGAAGCAGGTGAACAAGCAAGTTCAAATACAATGCAGACAGGGAAAGACTGAGCAGAAACAATGACTAGGCAGTGATGTCAAGAGAGTTCTGATGACAGGTGAAAGCCCTCATTCTTTCTTTACCAATGACAACTTCTGTTTCAGACTTTACCAAGGCTTCAAGCAGTAGTGAGCTAATGAAATGAACATGAACATCTATTTGTTTCAGCAACATAAAAGACAAATTATTTTGGGGGGTATACAGGAGGAGGGTCACAATCTAGAACAGTATCACAAAGGCTGCTTTCAGGAGTATGTCCTCAAAACTTCTCTGTCTCTACTTCAGACTCTTTGCATTATAATAGTACAAGTATTATTTTCAGACAATGGACAAGATTCTGTTATCCGAAGAGCTGTGTTCTTCAGTCTTTCTCTCCCATTAGACCATTAGCATCCCAGGTCCAGGTGTGGCATGACTTTCCAGAAACTCAGGCTGTGAAGAGACTGGCCCCGTTCAGTCTACACAGCAGTTTGCTCCAGTGAGTCACCCCCATTAGAGGCATGGACAGCTGCCTGACTGTTTTCAGTAGCAATCATGTTCAAACTCAAGACAGCCTCACACAGGCTGGTATTTGCACTATACTCTTCAAACAGAGACTTGGTTCCCCAATTGGATAGAATCAGTTTTGTGGTAATTACTTTTTAGTTACACTTTAAAAGTAAAATATCTTAAGTCACACACTTCCAGGGGTGAAAATGTTGATCACCCCTCTTCTGTCTCCATGGCAGACCTCACCTATTATAACAGGAAAGAATAGATATATATTCTGTTCTTTAAATCTTTTTCCATAATGTGAGAGGAATTCAACACCACAGCCAGACCATCCGTTTCATGTTTTATGGCCTTGGAAAGTTTCTCTTTCCCCCTGAAGACTAACTTCCATCTCGTGTGTTTGCAGCAACCCACCAAGACATGCTGAATTTACACAAATGCCCCACAGTACATCATCTGCCACTCAAGCATTCATTTGCTTCCAACTCAAACTGCTTTGGACACAGAAACCCACGAAGCACTACCACAAATGTTCACATGGGGAATAGACAGTTGAGTTCTAGCAGGCAAAGCCTTGACATGGACTGCAGGCAGAGTGGTTATTGCAGACGGATTTGCAGGCTCAAGCAATCTTCCTTTAAGGACAAATGTCAATAGATCACAGGGTCTGTGAGGAAGGCTGGCAGGAAATGACCTGATCATCGTGTTTTCCTAAAAGAGTAGCTCCTGAGGGTCATGGAGAATTCAACACAGACAGTAAATAGCAGGCCCTGATGAGGGCTGAAAAATCTCATGTCAGACTAGAAAAAGGGAGACTAGGAGGAAAAAGCACCTGTTAGGTACAAGTGTAAAATCTAAACTTAGGAGATGTAGAAAATGTATGCAGGGATGGGGGAGAAGGCAACTGCCCACCAATCCCCAAAGAGATCTCTGAGGTACACTAACAATGTAGGTCTGGGGCGGGGGGGGGGTTCATTTGAAAAAGACTCTGTGCATCAGAATTTTATTGAGAATCTTCATTCTTGCTACCCCCAACAGGCCATTTTTTTTTTTTTTGCTAAGTTATTCATGGTCATTTATAAATGCTTATCTTCCTTCTTCCAGAGTTCCAACGTGGCACTAATTATGTCCCAGAACTCAGAGTTCACCTGTCTCTGCTGATTACCTGTCACCCAGTGAATGAGCAGCACAATGAAACCACTGTATTGTACCAAGCTTGTACACTGTACTGCAAGCTTTCCTGACACACATACAAAACTAATTTCCTCAGAATCCAACTGCTTTTCAACCTTTCCAAGTAAGACTGCTTTCCACATGCTCACCCCAGACTGAACTGAATTAAGTTCAAGCAATGAGTGGCGACTCTCAAAGTATGGCCCATAAGCTGGGAGACAGCTTCAGAACAGACAGGGCCAAGACTGGCAGTCATCAAGGGATTCACACAAGACAATCATTTCATTTCTGTTGCTAATGTCGATGCGCTTCTGTTTCCCTAGTCAGGATGGTTACGCTTATTCTTCCTTCTTCAAGAGGATGAATTATAAATGTAACAGAGGCCTAGCGAAAGATCTTGCTGTCAGAATAGTGAAAGAATGGCTTCTCAAGCACACCACTCAAGAGATGCAGTATTCCTTTTCTACTGTTCACTAGGGATGTATCTTCCTCCATAGCCAACCTGTTGTTTAGGGGTATCATGATATCAAGTGCCCAATCTTTAGAAGGTGATGAATTATTAAAGGTCAAGTCTACTGATGCTGCTACAAATCCTCACTTCCATTGGCCCTCTGAGAGCTTCACTTCCTTGATGATCTCAAGTTTGATTAGTCTCTGAGTGAACAGCTAGTTCACTCAGGTTTGCAAGGTCATGGGATGTAAGATCTCGGATTGCTCTGGAGCCCAGGAGAAAACCTTTGCCCTGTGCACTGCTTAGTGCCAAGGCCTGAGAAGATGTGAGTTCAGAATGGCAGGTGGCTTCTAATTAAAGCTAGTCACCATGACCAGAAGACTAGTTGGAAGGGTGCTAGTCCGATGAGCCTCCAGGGGCTCATACTGCCATGTGGCTACTCACCGATGCTGATCAGGTACCAGGTGAGGAGGCCAGACCCGGGAACGGAAAGGCTGCTGTCCTAGCTGCCGTTGTAGGTCCGGTGGGATCTCAGCTGTAGGGTTGGTCAAGGCCAGTGTATGTCTTTTGGACCTATTTGCCAAGTACCTGCAACAGGCAGGAGGACATTTCACAGTAAAAAAGACAGACAGGAACATTCCTCCATAAGAAGCAAGAGAGGTTAACTGAGAGCAGTTGGTGAAACAGTGCTGGAGCTGCAGAAGGGCTCCATGGCAAGCAGGTTCTTGGCAGGATGGAAGTAAAACATGCCTAACTGGCCAAGAAAGGTCAGCTTACCATCAAAGTGGCTGAGTTTTAAGCCTGAGAGTAACCATGAGAGAAGAAAAGCAGACCTAGTTCATAAAGACAAGAAGATCAATTTTCTTCATTCCATTTAGCAGAAGTTATTTTCTACAAGTTAATTTCAAAATTTCCAAAGTATAAGTCAAAGGAAATGAACCTAAGGCCTATTTCTAGAGTGACAAGGGGGTATTCAAAAGGAGTTTATGTACACTTCTTGGTGTCAGATGCCCCAGGTTTTATGCTGTCCTTACTCCATGCCAAAGAAAACAGACTTCCATTTGAGGACAAGTGAGCTCTTCGCTCATGTACAATGACCAAAATATAATCATCAGAGAAGAAAAGCGGATGCTGTCCTCAGAAGAGCAGCTTCTATAAAGGATACAGAATATGAGAACTGATTTTAGGAGGAAAAAGGGCATGGCAAGAAGACAGAAGAGCCAACCACAAGTCGATGCCCTTCACTCTGAAGATCTTCCAGACCTACACTCAGTCGACACTGTAAGATGTCCAGTCCCTTTGCCTGATCCCACCACTGCTGCTTCTCTTGGGCACAGATAAGAGAAGCATGATCCTTTCCATGGACAGTCTATCCTTTAAATATTGGTATGAAGAAGAAGGTGGGGCTGGAGGAAGTAAAGGCTAAGACAAAGAGGATAAAATACGACTGTATCCTTTCAAAGAAGAAAGCCAGTAAAGTTACTAATTTCTCATTTCTTCATGATACCAGTAAGGCTCATTTACAACCTCATCTACCCTGTTATCGGCAAACCACAGAAGCAAAAGCATCAAGATTAAGGAAAAGTCACCAACCTTTCCTTCTATTGTGGAGGGCACTGGCCCACCTAACAACACCTGTGTTCACTATGGTTTTCCTTCCACAGAGAATGGGATTCTTTTTCCTGAGTATAGGTGGACAGTCCTGGGCAAGAACCATAAGGTTCCTAAAATGCTGTCTTGTTTCATTCCTAACTACCTTGCACATTTAAGCTAAAAGTTGTTACTAGACAAATTAGTAGTATGCAAACTTGCAAGAGTAAGCCAGCAGTGGTTAATGTCCATTTGATAAAGACACCCAAAGTTTCCCCAAGAGCCCATGAAACCATTTTATTTCAACTTCCCTCAAGGGAAAACATAAAATTTTGAAGAACACCTGTATTTCCGGGAAAATACATGCTGGATTCTAGTGAAACTCCCTCCCCAGAAAATAAAAAAGACAACTTCACAAGGGGGCATGCATGGAGCTGCAGACCAGGGCTACTGGAACTGAGTCAACAAACAGTACAGCATGCCTGGTGGTCACTGTTGTTCTCTGTGAACAAGGTTCTGCAAACAATGGGTATTTACATCTGTCCCTGGCCCATATCCCATATTCTTTTTTTTTTTTTCAATATCTCTTTGTTGGTACAAGGGAGTGGAAGAAACACACAGCAAACAGTACAAGAGGAATTCATTCATTCTCCTGGGAAGGAGGAGTCCATGCCAGAGGTCCATGGCCAGACTAGCTAGGATCACTGTCATCTCAAATCTCCAATTCCTTTTCAGTAAACAGTTCTTGGCAGGTAGGAGCAGGCTTTGTGCCTTGTGAAAACTACCAGAGTTGCGATGTGAAGGCAGGGGGCAAGGAAGGAAGGAGGGAGGAGAGGAAAAGTTCTTATGGTTATTGCTGTCACTTAAGGGGCTTCCAATGGTGCTTATAGAAATGAATTTTTCTGGATAGTCTTCTGTTACTTCCATGTGGGGAGGAACATGCCATCTGGCTTGAGCAAAGAGACCACACAAATGTTGAAGCTGCATTGTACCACCTCCTTGGGCAGAGGTGACCTTTCGCTGGTTGCAGGGGGAGCCTGCCCAAGGACGTTCTGCAAGCACTGCCAGATGCCACATTACCTCTGCACAGCTTCCTGATCTGGCTCCCCATCCGAGCTCTCCTCGTCCACAGGGGTAACTGCTGTCACTGCCTGCAAGGAAACAGGAAGGAAAGGCTCAAGGTAGCAGCTTATTCTTGAACTGTAGTAACTGGGCCCAGGCCAAGACTGTTGTTACTTTTCTTATTTACCAAACTTTTCTAGGACCCCTAGGTTATACAGAACTTTCACACACTTATTTTTCCACTTTTGCCTTCCTCAGGTGATACTAATTTGGATTTCTTCCTCTACTCATATTTATTCATTTGCTCATCAAATGTTTGGATGCCTACTATGCTGTAAGAGAAAATGTGGATATATAGATAGTCTTTGCCCTTGTTTGATGGAGACCAGTGAACGGACAATGGCAAGAGCATGGCTAAGCCCTTTCGAGTCCTCTACAGCATCCCTGGGAATTGAGGAGGCATTCTGGAGGCAGCAACACATGACCTGGGACCTGAAGATGCACAGGAGCTAGCAGCCAGGCCAAGAGGAGAAGGGTCACAGGCTGAGAGGACAGGAAGGCCCGTAGCACCCAAGGACCTGGAAATACGTAAGAAGCTGCCTACCTAGAGCACCTGAGCAAATGCCTGTGGTTTCATATTTACGTCAGTTCCAGAGTTTGGGTATCTGAACTCCAGGAAAGCATGGTGATTTTTGAAAGTACATTTCACCTAACAACTTTGTCGTTGTAATTCAGTGCTGTAAAATGCTAATTACGTACTGAGACCCAGACATGAGATGAGAAGCAATGCATATGCCATCACTGGGACTGCTCTCCCTGCCCCAGGACAGGAATGCTGTCCATTCTAAAAGATACTCACTCTTGGCCTGGTGGTACACATAAGCACCATGCCTCGCGCACTACAGCTACAGAGGACCTGATTTCGGTTCCCAGAACCCATGTCAGGTGGCTCATAACAACCTATAACTCCAGCACCAAGAGATTAGGCACCTCTGGCCTCTGCAGGCACCAGCACCTCATGTATACAAGCCCACACACAACCACAGAGACACATAGACATACACATAACAAGCCTAAAAATAAAAATAAATCTTTTTAAAAAAAAACTTAATGATAATTACAAAACAAAAAACAAAACTTTTCTGGAATATTTAATTTTCATATGCTTTACTATAGTTCTACAAGGGTGCAGCAAACAGGCAAGAAGTGTCTAGAGCTGAAGCAGGGGAAGGACACTGACCCTCATCACCACAGAAGTTAGCCTATTTTGAGATGGGCTGTGGTAAATCACTAAAGGATTTTAAGCAAGGGTGCAGTGTTACAAGATGTGTATTTGGGAACTATAAAGAGTCAGCTCTCTTTAGTTGTAGGGTGAAAGGGGCTGGTGGTAGAAATCAGGAGAAAAGACTGGAAGCAACCAAACAGGTACCAGGTGGGAAGCCATTAGATTAATCTAGTGATGGATGACTGTGGCCTGAGTTAAGGGCAATAGAGATAGAAGCGATTTAATTCACAGGCATTAAATAACTGATCTGATAGAGGGAACAAGGAAAATTGAATAAGACAAAAATCCACGTTCCTGGCTTGTGTAATCTACCAGGACCATGACAGTGCTATTCACTGTCACTGCAGGAGAGGGACAGGCTTCACAGTCGTGATAAAGTTTTGGAACCTGTTGAATTAAAATCTGAGTAATCACACATACAGATGTGTAGAACTTGGGAAGGGCATTTTGGGTAGAAGAGCTGATGGTAGTTGCAACTATGGGAGTGGATAGGCTCATCTGGAAAGAAAACGGGACATGGGAAAAGCGCCTTGGCTAAAACCAGGTTTTGTCATGTCAACTTCAAGGACCAAGCAGAAAAGTCTGAAAAAGAAACTGAAAGGCAGGAAGAAAACAGAGTATGGTGCTACAGAAGCAAAAGAAAAAAAAAGAGAGAAAAAGGTCATCAATGACTAATGACTAATAGAGTTGGGACATCCAAAAAGATAAAGATTACAAATGCCCACTGCATTTATCAACAAGAGCTTGTTAGTGACCTTAGTAGCAACAGTTCCAGTGGACAGAGCAAGTCACCCCACTTCCCATGAGGATGATCCAATCCTTTCTATTGACTCTGCTCATACCTGAACACCTCCGCTACTGCACAGCCTGTGCTATTCAGTTTGGCACTTAATCACACATGCCTTTTTTTTTGAGGCAGTGTCAGTCGTGTAGCCCTGGCTGTCACTATGTAAACCAGGCTGGCCTCAAACTTGCTGCAACCCTCCTGCCTCCACCTCCCAAGTACTGGATTGCATAGCTTTACATGGTCTTTTCCTATTTAAATGCTTCCTGTAGGTTGGCCTTGTGCTTCAAGATCATAAATTCACTAACTCACTATGCCAACAATTTTGATGAAGAATTCTGTATTTGGCTGGGCCACACGGTACTTGATCCATGATAAGGTTAAGTACAGAAATGAAGAGTAAGCTTCCAGACACTTTTTTTTTTTTTTTTGGTCTTTTTGAGACAAGGTCTCCCTGTAGCCCTGGCTGGCTTGGAACTCTCTAGATAGACCAGGCTGGCCTTGATCTCATGGAGATTCGCCTCCCTAGTGCTGGGATCAAAGGCATGCAGCACCACTACACCCAGCTAAGTTCTGGACACTTTTTTTTTTTACTATTTTATTTTTTTTTATTTTATGTGTATGAGTATATTGCCTACATGTATGTGAGTGCACCCATATTGTGCAATGCCTCGGAGGTCAGAAGAGGGCTTCAGATTCCCCTGGAACTGGAGTTAAGGGCGGTTCTTAGCTACCATGTAGGTGCTGGGAATGGAACCCAAGTCCTCTGCAAGAGCAGTCATGCTCTTAACCACTGAGCCACCTCTCCAGCCCCAGTTCTAGACACTTTTATGACAACTTAATGGAGTAATTTTTCAGTTGAATATAAAATTTAGCCTTTTATTTTGTGTTTTTAAATTTTCACTTTTCAGTGCCCAGCATGGTGGTGCACGCCTTTAATCCCAGCCCTTGGAAGGCAGAGGCAGGTGGATCTCTTCAAGATCAAGGCCACCCTGACTGACATCATGACTTCTAAGTGGGATGTGACTAGGGAGACCCTGTCAAAAACAATGAACAAGAACAAAAAACTTGTCACTTTTTAATAATTCACCTTTACTCTATTTTATAAAAATAATAACTCATGATGAATTAAGGGAACAAAGGTTCTCAACTACTCATAGTTTGAGAAGTACTGCCCTAAAACATTTTGTAAGGGCTATGGATATAGTTAGTACTCAATCTTATGGAGCTATGAGAATGAATGAAAGCAAGACTCAGGTCAGAAAAATCACCAGAAATAGACAGATGCCAATGTATTTTTTTTAAAAAGCTTGAATGTCACCGTCATATAAAAATGATGCAGCTGAGAGATATAAACTGAAGTTAGAGTCAAATAATCAAGTGACCAAAGTTGTACCAAAATGCCAGGGAGCACTGATGAAAGGGTTAGTGCAACTGTCGTTTTGGAAAGCAGTCTAAAAGGCAATTAATTCCATGGGCCAGTGAGATGGCTTAGCAGTTGCCACAGAAGCCTGCAAACTTGAATTCAATCCCTGGAACCCAGGGAAAGGTGAAAGGAGAGAACCAATTTCTGAAAGTTGTCCTGACTTCCACATATGCACTGTGGCACACATGTATATACACATACACACACACACACACACACACACACACACACACACACACACACACAAATAATAAGTAAAACAAAATTGAAGAAGTGATGCATTCCAGAGAGCACTGTCTGCTTCAAGTGCCTTCTGTCGGGAACGTAAGGAAAATACTGAGGCAGGAAGGCAGACAGAGAGACAGACCACACACACACACACACACACACACACACACACACACACAAATAATAAGTAAAACAAAATTGAAGAAGTGATGCATTCCAGAGAGCACTGTCTGCTTCAAGTGCCTTCTGTCGGGAACGTTCTCTGAGAAGGTACAGGGCCAGCCCCGCCGCCTGTCCGGAAGCTGCTGGGTGTACTTGGACTTACCACAGTAGCTTAATGTGGCCCACTGTGGAGAGGCAGAATAGAATAAGTAAGTAAGGAAGTCAGTGAAAACACACAGTGGGAACACACCAAGCATCCCACGTTATGAGGAAGAGGAAATTCAGGTATTTCAGTTAGTTGCCAGCCCTAGGCCCACGCCTCCTTATCAAAAGTCTCCGAGAAAGTCAATTGGCCTATGTATTGTTACTTACTGGTGTCATGGTGACAAGTGGGGAGGGTCCCCGTGGGCGCTTCAGCAGCTGCTGGGCATGCAGTTGGATGTTGGCTCCTCCATCTGATGCCCTCCGGCCAAGGGGGCCCATTCCATTCAGCAGCTGTAGTGTGGGTGGCTGTAACAGAGACTGCTCCTGCCGAGAGTGGGCAGGATGCACTGGTGAGACAGGGTAAAATAAGGGAGCAAACAGCAGTACCCTCATTTACTACGATTAAGGGATTCTTTGATGGTAATACGAACTCAAGAAATCTTCCCTGTCACCAGAGCTGCTGTACAAAAGGGAAATCCTTCTCTCTAAGGAAACACTCCAACCCCAGGGATGGTTCTTTCAAAGCCTCTCAAAGGAAGCTTGAGTTTGTTTCCTGTGGACAGGCCCTTTCCCACAGCCAGGTACCTTGTACTCAAGCTGCCCAGTTGGCTGCAGATTCTGCATAGGAAGCAGGTTGTGCATGAAGTTCATGTTAGGGGTCACCTGCAGGAAGGGAGCCTGTGGGTTGACTCCAGGAAAGCCGGGTAGGAGCTTCTGCAGATCTTCCATGACTTCCGTGCTGATAAGAAACAGGAAGACAGAGACATGTAGCTACTCAGGAGTGCTTAAATCCACAAACCAATGTCACCGTTCTCCTCCATACAGGAATTTTATTTTTTTTACTTTTCTCTTTTTGTGTGTGTGCATATGTGTATATGTATGCATGTGCCCACCAGTTCACATGTATGCAAGTGTCTGAGAGCACATGTGCATGCATGAGTATGGAGGCCAAAGGTGGGGTGTCTTCCTCTATCACTCTCCACCATATTTGTGAGATAAGGTCTCTCACTGACCCTGGAGTTCACTGATTGGCTAGGCTCACCAGCCAGTGAGTTCTGGGGATCTGCCTATCTCCACCCCCACAGAGCTAAGGTATAACACATGCTGCCATGCCTGGCTTTTACATGGCTTCTGGGGATCCAGAACTCAGGTCTTTATATTTGCAGGGCAAACACTTTACCGACTGAGCCATCTTTGCAGTCCCATTTTAATTCTTCTTCTAAATTTCTATTTCTCTGTAAGATCCCAGAGCAAAGCAGAAGTCTAATGTGTGGAATACCCTGCTGCCATTTTATTCCATGTTCCTGGGGATTGTTATTCTTCACTCACTCAGGTAAAACCAATAGCTCAGAGCCAAGAGAAATACTGGCACAACTCCAGTTCAGGTTTTCCAGACCTTGAGGTGAACAGCAAGTTTCTAGAGAGAACAGGCCATCCACTAAGACAATGACTGCCTTAAGTAGCAACTGATTCAGCAGGGAAAGAATGCAATTACCCCCATCAGCACTGACAGGACAGATAAGTACTGGATGTTCAGGGCTGCCATGCCCAGCAGACTTTAAATAAGCAATCTTTCCACTAACCATGACTTAGGACTCCACCCTTTTGCAGTGACACATCCTGTGGAACCAGAATGTTCCCCCTATTGCCTATTTGATCGTAGGCTGAGAACAAGGAACATAACAAGCAAATCAGCAGGCATGGGAATCGTTTTTGGAAATCCACTCAGAGGAAAGAGATATTTATAAGAAAACCAGCTTTGCCCTGAGTTGAACTCTAGGAGAACTCTTGCCACAACCTTCTGTTCTCTGCTCAGCAAGGAAAACATTCAGCAATAAGGTGGGCTATCGTTCACGCTGTAGCCTTCAACTATGGAGCAGAAAGGTCCAGAGTTGCCCTCAGTCCATCTCCCCAGTGTGAGGGCCTCAGGGAACATTGTGACAGGCAGCCTTTGGGGAACACTTTGGAAAACTTGTATGTTTTAAGATTCTTGCTTACTTTTGGGGGTCAGAGCAGGGGACCAAACCCAGGACCTTGTCTGTGCCAGGCAATTGTCTCTACTGCTGAGCTGTATTCCCAGCTGTTGTTCACCTCATTTTCAATTGTCCACATATATAAATTATACCATAGCCCATGTCATCCCTTTCAATATGAGTCTTGCAATAGAACATATGTCAGGCAGCATTTTTAAAAGCTGTCAGACTCAGCTGAATTTTAAGGAGTCCTATCACTATGGGCAAAGACGCTAGCATACCCCTCACACACGTTATGGATTAGCTGGTAGGATGACTGCTCAGAGCCCTTGGCTCTAGGCAGACTGTAATTATTAAGTTGAATCAGTTGTGATTTTCCAGGGTTCGTGATGTGCTGAAAATGGTGTCCTGGACACTCATTTAGGTCTGACCTGGGGGAGATCGTGCAGTAGGAAGAACACCATGAGGTACTCAAAGCCAGGTGAAAATTCTTTGCCTCAGTACTGAACAGGGCTGGTACCCAGGCACTTACCGTGGGTCAGCCACCCCCACTGTGTGCCTCCTCATCGACAAATAGCGAACCAAGGCTTCAGGAGAAGGCTCTTCACCCTCATCACTGTCCAAGTTCACTGCCCCATCAGGCTGAGGTGGAGGGAAACACAACTGATCATAAATAAGAAGTAACTAGAAACAAGAGGGAAGAAGTGTGGTATGGGAAAGAGAGGCTTCAGTTGACAGCTACCACAGGTGGCTACTTGCCTCTACAATTTGGTTCTCTGGGTTGATCAGCTGCACCTGAGGGACGCTGATGTTCATAGCCGTGCCTGCCTGCTCAGCCTGGAAAGTAGGACATACGGATAAACAGACTTCAGATACTAGAGGAAAATAATGATAGTTTCTCAAAATAGTCTTAGTTTATATTTCTTTCTCTCTCTCTCTCTCACACACACACACACACACACACACACACACACACACACATTTGGTTTTGCTATGTAGCCCAGGCTGAACTTGAACTCATCATCTTTTTGCCTCAGATTCCCAAGGGCTAGGATTATACACATGGGTCACCACACCCTGCTTCAAAGTAGTCTTGAATGCTAAAGTCTAACTCTCCTGCACTCAGAAGACACGGTAAGGAAACATTCTTTAGAGACGATAGCATCTCACAATGATTTGCTATTTCTTTTTGGAAAAATAAAGAGAAAGAAAACTATTGCTGCCATCTGTCCTCTCAGTCAAAGAAAGGTTCAGATCTTGTCTTCTGACTGAGGAAGAGATGACAGATGAGTGAAAAACAAGAATCTTTCGAGTCAAGGCTGGTGAACAGCAACTAACCCTTACCCCTACTGTTACTTATCCTCAGCTAGGTCACTGGAGACATTGCCCACCTGGATATTGACTGGTGCTTGAAATGGCATGGCTCGGGGTATGGTAGGAAGTGCTCCGAGACGCAGGGTTTTATGTCTCTTATGTCGATCACACAGCAGACTGTAGATTGCACTATAGTGATCATAGGCATCTGATCTTAGTGACTACCAAGAGAGAAGGGGAAAAAGTAAAAAACCCTGATGAGATGGTACGTCAATGACCAAACCCTTTTAATAATGCCAAGAAAAGACCAAAGCAGCTTCTTTCCTTCCTTCCCAGGCCCAGGAGGGGCAGAAAAAAAGGAGGAAGAGGAAAGCAAAAAGACACAAGTGCTTAGGGAGGAGAAGACACAGAAAAGGCAGGAGAGAGGAAGGGCTACTGCATTTCACTTGTTCCCTGCTCTTCCCAGGTACCTGTAGTGTCCGCTCTTTGTCCAGTCCCATGTCTTCCATGGCCAAGAGGACATCATCATTGAGGGGATCCGTCTGTCTTTCTTCCTTCAGTTGCTGACATTCAGCTATTAACTATAACATGAAAAGAGGCAAGCTGTTAAGTCCCAATTAACCACACCAATATGGCATACGCGATCCATGATGGCCAAGCTATTCCATGCCCCCTCACTGACAATTCTTTAGAACTCAGTCGGTTCTGCTGATCAGCTGTGAGCAGTCAAGATTCCTGTTCCTGAGCTCTCTGGGTTACCTGGAATGATTACAATGGTAAACAGAGGGATGCTGCAGAAGCCATGGAACTGAGCACACCAAGACCAAAGAGATGTCCCCATGGCAGTGAGCTGCAGAATCTAGGGTATATCACCTCAAAAGCCAAAAACAAACTGTAATATGGGGACAAATGTAAGGAACCAATATCAACACTTTCCAACAGTCCAGCTGAGTTTTACAGTCCTCCCAGCTGAATTCACATGATGCTTTGGTATTACAGTTTTTGTCTCTTAGTGTCCATCTTTTAAGGCTCTAGGCAGATTACATCACACACAAAAGAGACTGCAACTTCAGAGAAGGTTCCTGAGGTGAGGGGCGCAGCTTACCCTGTCAAAGTTGGGATCGGCGTCCCCTAGTTTCATCCACTTGTGCCTGCAGATCTGCTCCATTGAGAGGCGCTTATTCGGATCTAACACCAGCATGTGGCGGATCAAGTGTTCACATTCTGCAACAGACAAACAGCTTGCCTCAGTCTTTGTGAGGGGAGGCACCAGCCAAGTGAAAGAGCTACAAGCAAGAGTATCAGGGAGCATCTCGGGCTCCTGGCTTTTAATGGCATCTCTCTTCTGCCTTGACCTTCACCTATTTCATTGCTTACTCCAGAAGGAGCTGAGCAAAACAGAGAGAGATGGACAAAAAGAAATCCAAATGGGACAGTCTGGTTAATGTCTCCATTAAGTATGAGGAGAAGAGTATAAGGCTAATGCAAGGATTCTACTTACTTATATTATGCAGTAAATGAAGGAGAAACTGTTCTCTAAGAGATCCACGATCTTACAATGTTCTCAAATTGGTCAGCTCTATCCTCCTATACATAAGATCACGAGCACATTAATGGTTTGGGCTTAGGTATGCAACACGTCTGTTGAAGTCAGTAAGCCTGGAACTTCTGGTGGCATAGGGTACACAGGGAGAGAGGTAGAGGCACAGGCCACCTCTGTCACATGCTGGGATGCTGTTGGCCTTATCTGGAATTTTCTCAGTATGAATTAAACATGGCAGGAACATAAAGCAGAGCTTACAGAGAGTCAATCAACAGCTATTTCTCTCTGGGAACTCAAACTCCAGGTTATACTGCATAAAGAACAAAGGGCTCAGATTCAGAAACCTATATTCTGATTTTAAAACCACCCTCTTTAAGTTTTCTCATCTGCAAACTGGAGGCCCGGATGACCACGTGGGAAAGCAGTTGTGAGGAAAGTGGTGGGCGATGATGATAAGGCAGGAGAATTACTAGTCCTTCAGAGCACTTTACAATTATTATTATCTCTGTTAACCCTACAGCGATCCGAAGAGGAATGTGCCCTCATCCTTCCCATTTTAGAAATGGCTGAAATTAGCCAGAGTCCACAGTCACATGGTTCTCAAGTGAGATTCAAACCAACAGCCTGATTGTCCACTTGGTGCTTGTGCGCACGTGTGGTATGTTTGCCCATGTGGGCACATGTGTGGGTCAGAGGGTAACGTTGGGATGTCTTCCTGAATTGGTTCTCTACATTATGTTTTGAGACAGGGTCTCTCACTGAACTTGAAGCTTACTGTTTTGGCTATGGCTGTCCAGGGAACCTTTGGGATTCCCCTGTCTCTACCCCCACTTTCAGGGCTGGGGTCACAGAAGTGTACCACCACACCAACTTTTATGTGGGTGCTAGGAATCTGAACTGGGGTCTTCATGCTTACACAGAAAATACTTTGCCCACTGAGCCATCTTCCCAGCCCCTCACCTGGACCCTTAAAACATAGTGTTATTGTGCCTCAGTCCTACAGAGCTGGGGGCACATACTTGAACCACTAGTACATCTTCATCCAAGTCATCATTGTTTGCTTAAACTACCAAAGTTTCCTAACTGGTCTTTCTGCTTCCATGTTTGCTCCATTACTGTCTAATCTACATAGGGAAGCAAAAGGAACTTTTTTTCTGAAGTTGTCTGGACCTATCACTACCTTATATAAAACTTTGCAGTTTCTTCCCATGATCCTCAGAATAAAAATCCAAAGTCATGATGAACCTGCAAGGCCCTACCTGATTTTCCCACAAACACAGCTTTCTCTACATTCTGGCCTTTGAGCTCCTTCCTTTAGCTGAAAAGGACACCCCTCAGGTCTTCTCAGGGCAGACGCCTTGTCATTCAGATACGAACTTCAATGTCACTTCCTCAGAAAGTTCTTCCCTGACCACTCACACTACAGCAGGCTTCCAGTCATTCTCCATTATGTCGCATGAATTTTCTTTACACGAACGGTTTCTTTATGGAATCACGTTGTTTATATTCCCTTTATTGTCTAATTCCTCAACACAATGTAAGACACATTCCTTTCCTACTGCCACATCCAATTTCACATCCCCAGTACCAAGAATGGTTATTATATCTAATGGGAACCAAATATCCACTGAATAAATGAATAAACAGTTATGAAATATTTACCTTTGTCAAGCAAGATTGTATTTGTGGAAATGCTTTCTACATCATTTAATCTTTACAACAACTCTAAGTTAGGTACTATTAGTAGCCACATTATAAGTGTAGAAACAAGATTTTGAAGAGCTAATGTACTCAGACACTCCAAAGCTAAGCTCTTAACCACCCTTTTGTACATCTTCAGATAGATAAGAATTTGATTTGATCTATTTTTTCCAGGGAAATTCAACTCTGTGATTTCTATAGCATTTGGTAAATACTATTTTATGCCACTGTCATGAAGGAATATGAAGAATAATTTAAATGAACTCCTCTTTTAATGTATCTGTGCTGTTAGTTTCTGTCAACTTGACACAAATCAGAGTTACCTGGAAGAGGGGATTCTCAACCAAGGAATTTCTACATAGTTTGTGGCCACGTCTGTGAGGCAACTCCTCAATTGCCATCCCAGGTGGTCCTGGGCTGTGGAAGAAAAGTAGCTCAGTAAGCTAAGGGAAGCAAGCCAGTGAGCAGTGCTCCTCCATGGTCTCTGCATCGGTTTGTGCCTCCAGGTTCCTGCCTTGAGTTCCTTCCCTGGCTTCCCTCAATGAAGGACTGTAACCTAGAAATGTAAACCAAGTACATTTCCTCCTCTGAGTTGCTTTTGGTCAGTGTTTTATCACAGCAATAGAGAAAGCAAAATTAGGACAGTATTCTGATTTTCAAATACAATAAAGCTACTAGATAAAAACCTTTTTTTTTTTTTTTTTTTTTTTTTTTTTTTTTTTGTCTTTTTGAGACAGGGTTTTCCTGTAACTCCAGCTGGCCTGGAACTCACTATATACACCAGGCTGGCCTCGAACTCACAGAGATAACCCTGCCTCTGCCTCCCAAATGCTAGGACTAAAGGGGTGTGCCACCACGCCCAGCGGAAAAATCATGTTCTTAATTCACAAAGTTGCTTAAAGCTAAAGACATCAGTGTAGGGAAGCCAGGCAGGGTCTGCTTTGAAAGTTGTCAAGTTGTTGTTCTGCCTCTAGATGGCAGTCTTCTGTTTTCCTTTGGTCTTTCCACACATAATTTAGTGTATGATATAAAATGGCCAAGGCCAAATGATGATCAGGTATAGGCTTGTTTTAAAACAGAGATTTTTCTAGGCAATTTCCTTAAACAACAAAAACAAAGCAAAACAAAGACACCCCTCATAGTAAATCCAATTAAAAGATGTATTTAACTCAATTTCAGGATTTTGAAAATATCTGGTCAGTCATCCTGAACTATTATTTGGCCTAAGAGATCCTGAAAATTCTCCAGAAAAAAATTCATAAGAAATTATGTGTACAAGCTTGCACATAATTTTTGTCTATTCAAGGAACCCAAGGAACATTCCCTAGATGTCTACAGACCCAGATGAGAAACTCCTGTCAATAGCACAAGGTCAAGAGTGCTGATCTCTGCACTACAGGACATCAGGCTGGCAGAGGATCAGAGCCTAGCACGTCTCATCTGTTGCACACGGGGTGGAACAAGGCAGAACTCATCATCAATTCTTACTTTTGTGGTGTCATACAGCTCATGAAATTAAATTTAGATGAGATCTGAATACATTATCCTACCCAGAATATGGGAAGAGCCTGGAAATGAAGAAAGTAAGCCTGAAATGACAACTGACAAATGAGCAGGAAGAAACTGGGTCCTCAGAGTAAAGGTATATGCGATCCATTTTTCCAGACACTACCAAGTACTCTCATGTCAAGAGTGGCCTCATCACTTGTCATCTCCCAAAAGGTACATATAGCCTTTGATGCTGAATGAGGTGGAGGCACTGTGGGCCATGCAGGAATATGCTGCTCTGCTGCGTGTGCCAGAGGAGCCGCCTCACTTCCCAGGCTGCTTTCATCTGCTCTGCACAAGATGCCAAGTGGTCTCTGCAGTAAAATCGCTGTGGGCCTGTGAAACCCAATCTGCTCAAGGAATGCTAACTAGAGGATGCACACTGCATCCTGGCAAGCTAACAGAGACTTGGATGACCCTAAGATGGAAATGAAGGCTGCCTGTGACTTTCTCTGAGATGTCAACATCTTCCATGTCTTTGATGAGAACTTTCTCAAAAAGGCTGAAAGTATTTGGCTGGGGGGGGGGGGGATAAAATTAAAGGGTAGGGGAGTATG